TTATTAAGGTTAATGCTCATTTTAATTTTATTTATGATTATCTATTACTTTTTATATTATTGTTAAAATTATTTCATAAATATATTGTTGGGGAACTTGATAATTGTGTTCGTTTTACTGATTTTTTTATATAAAATTAACAAAAAATAATATAAGATTAATTCTGGATTTTGTTGATTTTTCAATTTTTTTTTATTTTTCTACCAAGTATATTCGATAGCAACATGCTGTCGAATATAGTATCGCAAAAAAGAAAAAAAAACATAGTCGACAGAAATAAGCTATCGAATATAATTTTTTTTTTTAAATATTTGACAGCTATTAGTTGTCGATTATATAACCTTAATCCACAACTAATGGCTATCGAATATGACCTTTAAAAATTAAAAAATCTTTATCATCAGCAAAGTTTTGTCGATTATGTTTATCTTCGACAGCCAACATCTGTCGATTAAATTAGTATATTTGACAGAAAAATTAACTGTCAAATATACTCATTATCGACTGTAGTTTATACGACATACTTGGCTATCGATTATGTCTGTCGATTAAGACATAATCGACAGAAATACCTCTATATTCAACAGACTTTTATGTCGAATATACCCTTTTTTCCAGTACTGTTTCAAAGGTCAATTGGTACCTTCTTGCCTTAACACTAATATCAAATGCACATGTATGCTTCTTAATTGATGTTGTCTGCTTTGAAATACATGCAAAACTAAATTATTCTTTAGTTTCTTTTTGTTTTGATTTGTTGGAATGATGGTGGTTACTTTTTCTAGTCTATTTTACGTTCATATAGTTCTATTTTTTTTAATAAAAAAATAAGGACATGGGTAGCATTTATTCACTTAGGGCTAGAACATATAGATAAAATTGTCACATATGATCTAACAGTTGAGTAGTGTTTTAAATTCTTTTATATTAGTTTATAAAATGAAGAAATGGAGAGAAACACCTGTCCTAGCACGTAGAGCAAACACTAGTATGAAATGATGTAGCTTGTAGAGGTCACTTTGTCAGAAGACACTTCTTGTCTCAATATCAATATAATCATATTCATAACCAACACTTGAAGAAACAACGAATGGAGTTTGTTTTGCTGGTTTTCTTTTTTTTTGTTTTTGTTTTGAGTAGCATGATTATTCATTGCACATCTTGTTCCATTTTTCTTAAAGCTTGAGAGATGGGGAGATGAAAAAAATGGCTGCACAAAATTGTTGTCTATGAGAATGAGCCAAGCAATGAACCTTCTACATAAAACAATAGTGGAAGGGGAGATACTTTAGCCAACACCCGACACACAATTTAGCAAAGATATATCAATGCAACCAACAACCAAGGCCTAAACCAGCCAACTCAGATTATTACAGCCAACACTCAAGGCACAAACCCAAAAAGGACCAATGCACCCAACACCCAACACCCATGGCCTAAGCCAGCCAACACAAACCATTGCAAGGAATCCTTAATTAGCTTTGTCAATTGAGCTTTCCAAATTGGAAGAAAGTGCCAACCATGACCAAGAAGGGCTGCATTTGCCACCATAAAGGTAAATTTTATAATTAAAAATGTCCTTGTATCAATTAATATATATTAGTTAAGTGGAAGTTAGTTTTCAACTTTTTTTACTTGTATTTGGTAGTAACACTTTTCATACCATGATACGGTAAACAAATGGGTGAACAAATCTGTTGGTAAGAAGCGGAAGGATTATAAAAGCTGATTGGGGGGACGATTTTATTATCTAGAAAAGACTGAGGAGGAAAATGCTAGAAATATTGTCTTTGAATATGGCCATTGAATCTTTTGGATACTCTTAGATATTAATATTGTTGTACTTTGTTTGGATATTATTTTCTATCATTTTTTGGTGGCAGCATTTGGACATGATATTCAGCTTTCAGAATTTAAGTATTTGGATATTATTTAGGCATTGTTATATGTTATTTGTTATTTGGATATGATAAGATTAAGCATTTAATAATTATATGTCAAGTTTGTGTAGATTTTTGATTAATTGCTGTCATATTTGGTTTGATTGATTATGTTGTGATTTTAAATGGTTTTTTCAACAAATAGGTATTATTTTGGCAGCAAGAAGATAATGAAATGCATTAAAAAAAAAAAGACTTTTTTTGCGTTTACAAACGCAATTGACAAGAAAAAAAAGGCCTTGCATTTCTGGTCAAACGCAAGTGAAAACATAAAATATTACAGCACCATTTGGGACTTTAAAAAAGGTATTACTTGCATTTTTCAAGTGATTTACCTGCGTTTCAGGAAAATGCAAGAAAAAATAAATTTATATCAGCATTCATGTGAAATAAAAGTATGGTATTTACTGGCACCATACATGCCAGCGTTTGTGTGATGTTTTTGCAAATGTTGGTAACATTTTTAATTGCATTTAAAAATGCAGATAAACACTTCAAAAAAACGCAGGGAATTGGTCTTTTTCTTATAGTGAGGTAAAGTATTAAGAAATGTTATCAAACAAAACCAGCATGGGAGCATTGTTCAGACAAATTCATTATTAAGAAAAACGTGAACTATTATTTTAGGGAATAAGATGGATATAGGGGGAGTTTGCAAACCGTTAGCTACCTTCTGTTGGACTCAGAGGAGGTGGACCAGGAGGTGCAAACGACACAATAGTGACATTACTTGTATCGTTCAAAAATAAATCAATCTCGTATCTTAAGAAACAGCTGGGTTGCACAGTTCAGCACTCGGTTATTCCATAGCAGGCAGCCCTCATCCTGCCGTTGCCCGTTGCCAGACAAGCGCTGCAATTTTGCTGGGACAGATCAGCGGCACACTGCATCATGGCGTAAATTCTTTGGGAAGAGGCCGTTAAACCCGCTGCATACGTGAAAAGAGGACCTCCGCCAGCCGCACGGACGCTTAAATTTTTCAATAAGAAACTCAAGGCCTCTGTCGAAATCATTAACGTTATGCGGCGCAGATTGGTTGTCAACTCTCCATAGTCTATCATAAGGATCGGTTTCCATAACTCCGTAAATTTGTCGGTTTGCGTAACGTAAAGTACAAAATTCCGACCACCCGATTGCTTCTTTATTGTTGGGACAGGTTTGTTGAAGAGCGTTGAAGAGCGTAAATGGTGCTGTTCAGGCAACTTCTGCAGACGTCCACATTTTGGTCTCCATGCAGAGTGCAATTGCGTTGACCTGGTCAGGGCTTTGGCCAACGGACATATGGTAGAAGCCATGATTGTAATTCTGGGTGGAGGACAGTTGGGAGAAGAGACGATTGAGGTTGGCATCGTAGGTACTGTTAGCGGTGAAGTTACCGTTGTTGCTAGCACAACTTTTACGGAAATCATTAGCAATTTGGGCGGAACTGAGATTTATGTGAAAAGCAGAGGAGAGTAAGAGCAGAAAGAGTTTTAAAAATCTCATTTGCCTAAGACAGAGTAAATATATTTTACTCTGTTCAATTTCAGGCTAAATTTGTTAATGGGAGAAGGAGTAAATAAGCCCTTCTAATTGAATGGTATATAAAGGAAAAGTCCTGTAAGCATTAGTTTTCAACGGAATTGGAAATTTTGTGTTGTGTTGCGTTGAATGAGGATCAAGTCGTCCCATTCCCAGCTTCCTTTAAGTTTCCACAACTTAGTCGCGATGACTGGGACTATATTAAGGGAGTCAATACCATATTGGCATGCGTATCGATTTTGTTACTGAAATGGTACATATTGGATATCGAAATTTTTCGCATACCGTTTTGGATTTATTGTTATAAATATATATTTTTATAAATTAAATATCAAATTTTAAAATAAGATTGGGGATACTAATATTTAAAACTATCATATTTCTATAAATTGAAAATAAGTTTAAAATAATCATTTTTAGTCCCTCAACTTCTAATATATGCATATTTTTCTTCCATTCACTTTAAATTAAGGGACTAAAAATGTGTATATTTAGACAAATTTAACAGAATAATTGATAGAAGGATTAAAAAAATGAAAAATGATAAAAAATTAAAAGATGAAAACTATAAAAAAACATTAAAGTTAAGGACCAAAAATAAAATTTACTCTTTTTAAATTTCAATAATATCTTCTCTTTCGTAATAAAAAAGGTGTAGAATTGACAAAAATATAATTAATATAATAATTGCGTGCTCTTAATATTTTGTTGTGATATTATTGAAAAGAAAAGTCTTTTGTGCATGGTAAAAAAAAGACCCTTGTAATAAATGGGAGGGAGCACATTTGATTGTTATTAATAGTATGTTTAGTTTGATAAATATTGTAATATAATTGGTCAAAAAATTCATTCCTTTGTAATCCCCTCTTATTTGTTTTCCTCAAATCAAATATACATTAATCTGATTTTTTTTTTTTAATCTTGGATTGCAGAATAAAAGATAATTCTCACTAATCACTTAACTCGTTCCACCGACATATTATGTGATTTGAATTTAAAACCTTTAATTTCTACAAAAAATGAGATTATCATTGATCTACTTAAGTAGGAGGCCAAACCCCAAATCTAAGAACAAACCCATCCTTCAAAAAAAAGTTAAGGACAAAGTACCCTTTTAAATCATCAATTAAGACAAATAACATATTATTTAATGTGTAATATCATTACACGTTAATTTTTGGTTAAATACAAGTTTAGGTGGCAAATGGATTTTTGACATATGATAATATCACATATTAATTAAATAGTAGATTATTTATCTTAAACGATAATTTAAAATGACAATTTATTTTTACTTTTTTTGAGAGGTAAATCTATTTCTACCATCTTATTTAGGGCAGATTTGAGGAATCGGATAGGTGGTAGGCAGGGAGAATGTTAAAGCTCAAAGAAGAAAGAGTATGCTCAGTGGTGATCCAACCATTTTCATTTGCCACACCGATGATGTCATTATATGGTATAACTACCTTTTTTTTGTCTCATGTATTGCACAGGTTTTTCTTTAATTTTTTATATTGAAATTTAGATTTGTTATTTTTTTATCAACTCTTGAGTTTTATGATGATTTTTAATTAAAAAATTTTAATTAAGTAATTAAAATTAAGTTAAAAATTGTATTCAATAATTAGCAAGAGTATTTTTTTAAAAAAAATTGTATATAACCACATTTAAAGAAAAAAATATTAAGGTAATTCAAAAAACACCCAATGTTAATTTTTATCTCATAATTTAAATAAATCTATTTTTTCTACTATTATTCTATTTAAAAATTTAAAAAGTAGTCTCTCTTCTCTCAATTAAAGAGCTGCAATACACTTAAATAGGATCAAATACATATGTGCTGCATATGCATTGTATGGGTTCATTTTAATGTTCTTTTCTCAATATTAAATAAAAACATTGATATGCCTTTTTAAAATATGACTTAAATTAAATAATTTAAACATATATATTTTACAGTCAAATTTTTAATTAAAAAAATCTTTTTAGAATTTGTTGTTAAGAATTGAAAAAACTTTAAAATTTTGTTATCAAGAATTAAAAAAAAAAAAATCCTAAACTCACTTACATGATTCTTTTTTTTTTTTTGCCTTCAAGGCTTAACATTCTTAAGTATTCACTTTCTCTTAAGTATGCTTAATTAGTATGCTTAATTAGTATGCTTAGTATTTTATGAATTAATATTTTTCATATCTTAACCTATTCTTCGTTGGTTTAATATACATGTAATAGAGAATAATAATGAATATACTTCTTTAATATATATCAAACATTTGGATAAAAATGTATGTTACTCCCATTTAATGGGAAGCTGTAAGGATAGCTTTAGAAATTATTTTAATACATATTTATACATTAATTTTTATTATTATTGATGTTGTTATTATTATTATTATTAAATA